AACGATAGCTTATTGCTATGTGGTCTATTTGTGTCCAGCGTTGGTTTGATGAAGGGGGTCTCCAAGTCACACAGTGTCTTTCCTTGTGTTTAAAGTTAGTGCTTACAAGAAACAAATGATTATCAGAGCAGAACTGTAGGAGACGGTCACCGTTGTCTGTTCGCTGGCACCGGACTCCATAGGTGCCACTGACATCCTTCTCAGATTGACACAATTTCCCTACTTGAGCGTTAAAGTCACCAGCTAGAACGACTATGTCTGAGCGTTCAGCCTTTCCCACCAAACTAGACAGCTTTTGGTAGAACTCATCCTTCGTTTCATCTGAACTGCAGTCAGTGGGGGCGTAGACGGAGATTACGAAAAGGCATCGGCGAGTAGTGCAGTCCTTCCTCCTTATTACTGATCCGTTCAGGCAGACAGCACACATTCGGCTATCTACCGGGATCCAGTCAAGCAATGTATTTTCTGCCCTAGTACTCAAAGCTATCCCTACGCCGGCTAATCCTCGTGAACTGGCTGTGGCATCTCCTGACACCCTCAAGGTGAGATGCTACCCACGAAAGCTGAAGTCTTGAATGCTATCAAGCTTCTGAAACCTATAAAATACAGCCAAGGGACCCTATTAACAAGGGAGAAACACAGATTTAACAATGGGCGGGTCACTTCAAAGGACTCTTGAACCGATCACCATCTGCATCCCGTCCAGAATTACCTACAGCAGCGCGTACACAACTGCAAGTTGACACCAATCCTCCAAGAAAAGCTGAAGTCTTGAATGCAATCAAGCCTCTGAAAGCTTGGAAAGCAGCTGGACAAGATGGAAAACCCACTGAAGCACTGAAAGCGGACCCGGAGATGACAGCAAAAATGCTGACTCCATTATTGTGAAAGGTCTGGAAGCAGGGAATTATGCCTACTGACTGGAGGGATGGTTACCTTGTGAAATTACCAAAGAATGGCGACTTAGGACTCTGCAAGAACTGGCGAGGGACCATGATCCTTTAAACGCCTAGCAAAATACTAATCCGTATCATCCTGGAGAGAATAAAGGACGCACTGGAGACAGAACTCCGACCAGAAAAAGCTGGATTCAGGAAAGTCAGGCAAATCATGTACTGACCAAATTGCAACTCTACGCATCATCATCACAGAGCAAAGAATGGAATGGCAATCAAACATCCACCTCAACTTTATAGACTTTGAGAAGGCCTTCGACAGACAGCGTTGACCGCGAAGTAGTTAGGAAACTACTCGAGTACCACGGCGTGCAGCGCCCAAATATTCATCAAGCTTATTCAACAGCTGTACGACAACAGTGGCACATGTCAAGTGATCCACAACGGAAAACTCAGCCAGGCGTTTGGAGTAAACACAGGAGTCAGACAAGGGTGCTGGCTTATTATCACCAATAAATGATATTCCTAATTGTCGTGGACTGGATTATGCGTCAGACAATCAGTGGGAAACGAGAAGACAGGGATATCCTGGAGCGACGTGATGAAACTAGAAGACGTGGATTTCGCGAGTCGATGATTTATGTAGGATGTCAAACAAAATCGAAGACTTACAGACGAAAACCGACCGACAAACTGGTGGAAGAGGCGGCCGGAGAAGAGAGGACTCCAGGTGAACATAGACAAGACGGAGGTTATGAAAATAACCAACTAACCAACAACACCAACAAAAACAGAAACATCCAGCGTCAAAAACACCATCAACGGGAGGGATTTGAAACAGGTTACTTCACTCACTCACTCACTCACTTATCTAGGGAGCATTGTCTCAACTACAGGCCACAGGAACGGACAAGGATGTCAAATCGAGCGAGAATCGGGTGGGGGGCGACAAACACACACATTCATCAACCAACTGAAACCAATCTGGATAGCAATCTTCGTCACTCAGCCAGCCAGCATCAACAACAAAATCCAGTCGGATTTCCAATACAAACAAAGTCAAGTCAGTCAGTTTGTATACACGGAACGGATCAGAAACTTGGCGGGCGGGCGGGCGGATCACAAACAATATTTCCAACAGCCTGTTGCAGACCTTCATCAACCAACAACTGTCTTCGCTGGCTGTATACTGAAGATCAGATGGCCGGCCGGCCGGCCGGGCCGGAAAGAATCACCAACTATGGGAAACTGTGGTCACAAACAAACAAAACAAGAAGCAATAGCCCAACCAACAAATATGCAGGAGAAAGTGCATTGAGATGGATTGGACACTCGTGGCTGAGTAGGCCGCTGCTGGGTGACATCGCGCGCGCGTCAGGCCATTGCTCGAGTGGAACCAGGCCGAAGGGGAAGCGGCGACTGGGATTTCAGGGCAAGGGTGGGTGACATGGAGGAGATTGTGTGATGAAGAGGAGTTGAAACAGTATGGACTGACTAACATGGATGGATGCAGGTGAAAAGTACAGCAGAAGGAAGACAGAAACAAATGGAGACATGCAGTTGGAGAAATATGTTCCATTATGAACGAAAGGGAACAGTAAATATACACTAGAACCCGATCATCTCACTCAATCAGCGGGTGACGAAGTCGACAAATGTGGAATGGTGAGAAGTGAATATCCGAAATCTGTGACAATGTTGTTCCGATTCAGCTGGAAATGAGCACGTGGAAGGAGATGCGTTGACATTCTTCGTGTCGAGAATAGAATATGTGCAAAACAGTGACAGTCACTCACTCACTCACTCACTCAGTCAGTCAGTCTCTGTCTACACTTTCGTGGAGATGGTGACTACTGTCGACTGTGCAAGAACAGAACTGAATGAAACAGGTATCTCATGTTGTGCATTATTCCGACTGACTCAAAACTCCTTCACACAAGCCATTCATTCATTAATTCATTCTGTCATTGCTTGCTACAGTCCCAACGAATTGAGCCTAACTGCACGAATCCGAATAGACTTCGGATGGATGGAGTATGACATGTGACACAAAGTGGTTCTACATAGTAGAAATATAATTTAAGCAGTGTCAACCAGTATCTGAATGGTCTTACCCGTTGTTGTTTCTTCTTCAACTTGTTCTTCTGTTGTATTTGCTGTGGGTGTGGGTGTGGTGACTGGCAGAGCTGTCAGAAGAGAAGAGAAGATAAGAGAATAGAAGTAGAACAGACGTGTCTCATCAGTTGTCACACCACTGACCTACGTGATAAATGTAAAATACCCACTTCCCACATCATCAAGATCATCATCTGACTGGACGTGAGTGAATTAGAGAGACAAGGGTGTTTGTTGTCTCACGTCAAGTCGACGAATATATTCACGTAGTCACAAAACTCACCTTGTGTTGTTGCCTGCACAACAAGATTTTTCTTCATTGAAACGAGAGAGATTGAAAATTGAGAGTATCGCGAATAGCACCAGAGTGGGAATATGACTTCCACAGTGACTGGCACATTTGTCACACACTCTCATCTCACACCAATGTGGAACACACGAAAGCGTCTATGTTTGTTGCTCGTGCCTCCTCTGCAATACACATCAACTGTCACATTCCTATCACATCGCCTGCATTGATTGCATATTCATCTGAATCCACAGAATTCATATACTCACATTTTCAATTGCATGTCAGCCAATGTGTTATGTGTTATCTATGATGCTCACTCACTCACTCACTCACTCACTCACTCACTCACTCACTCACTCACTCACAAACACACACACAATTCGATTCGAATTTCCCGCCTGCTGTCACCAGTCTGCTGCTCCACACACGATCATCTCACTTTCTACACGCACACACACACACACACATACACACACATATATACTGTCCAAATAATTATCACAGGTCAGATTTCACGGAGAGCATTCAGAATCTCCGCTCTCTGATATCACCACTCACTTGTCTTCAGAATATAGGTAAGAAGTGAAAAGTGGAAAAGATTTCATCCTTCTCACCTCGAGTATGGCACATGCTGGGATAGATGTTTTTGACCCCTGAAAATAAGAAAAACCAGTCGTCGCCTGTTAACTAACATACGCTATTCACAGTGTTCTATATATAGATGGGCCAAGTTAAACCTTAAGCGCCATTCACTACCAATCAGCGAACGACTTCGAATTATCCGGTGATATTCACGAACGTTACTTCAATGTTGTATACCGCTTGATTCGTTTCAAATGCGTGCCCTAACAAGATTACGGTCGCCATTCGAGGAGGACCGTGTTTTCCAGTGTTGGCTGGATTTAGTGTTGCTCCGGAAGGAGCGAACCTGTTCGTGTGGTGGTGTCATGACCTTGAAAAGCTATGGCAGGTCAACTGATGGATTTGTCCATCGTTGGGCAATATGCTTGAAGCGAGTTAGCATAAGAGACGGTAAGCTGATAATTTTAACATTTCGTAGGAACTAATTTTGCAAGGCCACACCTCTCGTTGACGCAAATTTGGTATATCTGCAACTACTCAGTACTGAAACAGCCAGTGAGAGCCGCAGCTTCTGAGACGGAGAATAGCCTCGTCTCAACAGTTCAATGGTACCAGCATTGCAGAGATATCCATTCTTCGAAAATTGAGAAAATCTATTCTTTGTTGGGTGGAGAATACGTTGTTGTGCACGTGGATGAAACTGTGTTGGTGAAAATAAAAAATACAACCGTGGTCGCCAGCGAGCGAACAATATTTGGGTAATAGGTTAGGTTATACAACACTCATTTGTAGTCATTCAGATGAATATATGCACAGAATGTGGTGTAACTTTCCTATTGACAGTTCGATGCTTAACTGGGAGATGTTTCTCTCAAATGTTGGGGAAAGATACTCCGTGAAACTGTTTTATGATATTTTTATGATTCATTCTATAAATATACGTTTCCAATCATCGTAAATGCCACTTAAATGTGATTGGTCCGTGCAAAGAACATTTCTGATGGGTTGTGAGTGGTGTCCAAAATTTAACTTTGCATATAAAAGTTGAACATGCAGAATTCACAACACAAAATCATGATGACGATAGATGTCAGATATCAGATTGATAGACTCACCATAGATCTCCACCTCCTCGTCGACGTTCACTAGTAGACGAAAACAAGGATACGTGTGAATTGGTTAGAAAATATGCAGGACGCGACGTTTCAGTGGAGACGCACACGACAATTAAGCAGCAGTCATCACAAGCATGTCTGACAATATGAAGACTGAGCGATACAACACTGGCCCCTCTCTCTCTCTGTCTGTCTGTCTGTCTGTCTGCTCACACCGAGTGGTTGGTTCATTCGAATTCTAGTCTCCAGCGTACTGGCCTCCACAAATCGCCTGCATTACAATCTACTGCGAGATCAGGTGTTCCGTTGACGGTCCAGCGAGCATCAATCGCTTCCACGAAATGATTCAGAAAGCACAGTGTGGATCAGCTCAGAAACTGACGAAATCTTTGTGAAATCAAAGCTATGCACAATACGAAATTTGTAGCCATACACACTTGATAAGGAGATTGACACAGTGAGACGCAGTGGGACACAGTGAGGCACATTGGGATAGTCACGAGGATATGAAGACCGTGATAACTACACAACCAAGACGCAGAGTGACTTCCCTATCAGAAGTGGCCGTGAATATTGAGATGCTACCCACGAAAGCTGAAGTCTTGAATGCTATCAAGCTTCTGAAACCTATAAAATACAGCCAAGGGACCCTATTAACAAGGGAGAAACACAGATTTAACAATGGGCGGGTCACTTCAAAGGACTCTTGAACCGATCACCATCTGCATCCCGTCCAGAATTACCTACAGCAGCGCGTACACAACTGCAAGTTGACACCAATCCTCCAAGAAAAGCTGAAGTCTTGAATGCAATCAAGCCTCTGAAAGCTTGGAAAGCAGCTGGACAAGATGGAAAACCCACTGAAGCACTGAAAGCGGACCCGGAGATGACAGCAAAAATGCTGACTCCATTATTGTGAAAGGTCTGGAAGCAGGGAATTATGCCTACTGACTGGAGGGATGGTTACCTTGTGAAATTACCAAAGAATGGCGACTTAGGACTCTGCAAGAACTGGCGAGGGACCATGATCCTTTAAACGCCTAGCAAAATACTAATCCGTATCATCCTGGAGAGAATAAAGGACGCACTGGAGACAGAACTCCGACCAGAAAAAGCTGGATTCAGGAAAGTCAGGCAAATCATGTACTGACCAAATTGCAACTCTACGCATCATCATCACAGAGCAAAGAATGGAATGGCAATCAAACATCCACCTCAACTTTATAGACTTTGAGAAGGCCTTCGACAGACAGCGTTGACCGCGAAGTAGTTAGGAAACTACTCGAGTACCACGGCGTGCAGCGCCCAAATATTCATCAAGCTTATTCAACAGCTGTACGACAACAGTGGCACATGTCAAGTGATCCACAACGGAAAACTCAGCCAGGCGTTTGGAGTAAACACAGGAGTCAGACAAGGGTGCTGGCTTATTATCACCAATAAATGATATTCCTAATTGCGTTGATGACTGGATTATGCGTCAGACAATCAGTGGGAAACGAGAAGACAGGGATATCCTGGAGCGACGTGATGAAACTAGAAGACGTGGATTTCGCGAGTCGATGATTTATGTAGGATGTCAAACAAAATCGAAGACTTACAGACGAAAACCGACCGACAAACTGGTGGAAGAGGCGGCCGGAGAAGAGAGGACTCCAGGTGAACATAGACAAGACGGAGGTTATGAAAATAACCAACTAACCAACAACACCAACAAAAACAGAAACATCCAGCGTCAAAAACACCATCAACGGGAGGGATTTGAAACAGGTTACTTCACTCACTCACTCACTCACTTATCTAGGGAGCATTGTCTCAACTACAGGCCACAGGAACGGACAAGGATGTCAAATCGAGCGAGAATCGGGTGGGGGGCGACAAACACACACATTCATCAACCAACTGAAACCAATCTGGATAGCAATCTTCGTCACTCAGCCAGCCAGCATCAACAACAAAATCCAGTCGGATTTCCAATACAAACAAAGTCAAGTCAGTCAGTTTGTATACACGGAACGGATCAGAAACTTGGCGGGCGGGCGGGCGGATCACAAACAATATTTCCAACAGCCTGTTGCAGACCTTCATCAACCAACAACTGTCTTCGCTGGCTGTATACTGAAGATCAGATGGCCGGCCGGCCGGCCGGGCCGGAAAGAATCACCAACTATGGGAAACTGTGGTCACAAACAAACAAAACAAGAAGCAATAGCCCAACCAACAAATATGCAGGAGAAAGTGCATTGAGATGGATTGGACACTCGTGGCTGAGTAGGCCGCTGCTGGGTGACATCGCGCGCGCGTCAGGCCATTGCTCGAGTGGAACCAGGCCGAAGGGGAAGCGGCGACTGGGATGTCAGGGCAAGGGTGGGTGACATGGAGGAGATTGTGTGATGAAGAGGAGTTGAAACAGTATGGACTGACTAACATGGATGGATGCAGGTGAAAAGTACAGCAGAAGGAAGACAGAAACAAATGGAGACATGCAGTTGGAGAAATATGTTCCATTATGAACGAAAGGGAACAGTAAATATACACTAGAACCCGATCATCTCACTCAATCAGCGGGTGACGAAGTCGACAAATGTGGAATGGTGAGAAGTGAATATCCGAAATCTGTGACAATGTTGTTCCGATTCAGCTGGAAATGAGCACGTGGAAGGAGATGCGTTGACATTCTTCGTGTCGAGAATAGAATATGTGCAAAACAGTGACAGTCACTCACTCACTCACTCAGTCAGTCAGTCAGTCTCTGTCTACACTTTCGTGGAGATGGTGACTACTGTCGACTGTGCAAGAACAGAACTGAATGAAACAGGTATCTCATGTTGTGCATTATTCCGACTGACTCAAAACTCCTTCACACAAGCCATTCATTCATTAATTCATTCTGTCATTGCTTGCTACAGTCCCAACGAATTGAGCCTAACTGCACGAATCCGAATAGACTTCGGATGGATGGAGTATGACATGTGACACAAAGTGGTTCTACATAGTAGAAATATAATTTAAGCAGTGTCAACCAGTATCTGAATGGTCTTACCCGTTGTTGTTTCTTCTTCAACTTGTTCTTCTGTTGTATTTGCTGTGGGTGTGGGTGTGGTGACTGGCAGAGCTGTCAGAAGAGAGAAGAGAAGATAAGAGAATAGAAGTAGAACAGACGTGTCTCATCAGTTGTCACACCACTGACCTACGTGATAAATGTAAAATACCCACTTCCCACATCATCAAGATCATCATCTGACTGGACGTGAGTGAATTAGAGAGACAAGGGTGTTTGTTGTCTCACGTCAAGTCGACGAATATATTCACGTAGTCACAAAACTCACCTTGTGTTGTTGCCTGCACAACAAGATTTTTCTTCATTGAAACGAGAGAGATTGAAAATTGAGAGTATCGCGAATAGCACCAGAGTGGGAATATGACTTCCACAGTGACTGGCACATTTGTCACACACTCTCATCTCACACCAATGTGGAACACACGAAAGCGTCTATGTTTGTTGCTCGTGCCTCCTCTGCAATACACATCAACTGTCACATTCCTATCACATCGCCTGCATTGATTGCATATTCATCTGAATCCACAGAATTCATATACTCACATTTTCAATTGCATGTCAGCCAATGTGTTATGTGTTATCTATGATGCTCACTCACTCACTCACTCACTCACCACACACTCACTCACTCACTCACTCACAAACACACACACAATTCGATTCGAATTTCCCGCCTGCTGTCACCAGTCTGCTGCTCCACACACGATCATCTCACTTTCTACACGCACACACACACACACACACATACACACACATATATACTGTCCAAATAATTATCACAGGTCAGATTTCACGGAGAGCATTCAGAATCTCCGCTCTCTGATATCACCACTCACTTGTCTTCAGAATATAGGTAAGAAGTGAAAAGTGGAAAAGATTTCATCCTTCTCACCTCGAGTATGGCACATGCTGGGATAGATGTTTTTGACCCCTGAAAATAAGAAAAACCAGTCGTCGCCTGTTAACTAACATACGCTATTCACAGTGTTCTATATATAGATGGGCCAAGTTAAACCTTAAGCGCCATTCACTACCAATCAGCGAACGACTTCGAATTATCCGGTGATATTCACGAACGTTACTTCAATGTTGTATACCGCTTGATTCGTTTCAAATGCGTGCCCTAACAAGATTACGGTCGCCATTCGAGGAGGACCGTGTTTTCCAGTGTTGGCTGGATTTAGTGTTGCTCCGGAAGGAGCGAACCTGTTCGTGTGGTGGTGTCATGACCTTGAAAAGCTATGGCAGGTCAACTGATGGATTTGTCCATCGTTGGGCAATATGCTTGAAGCGAGTTAGCATAAGAGACGGTAAGCTGATAATTTTAACATTTCGTAGGAACTAATTTTGCAAGGCCACACCTCTCGTTGACGCAAATTTGGTATATCTGCAACTACTCAGTACTGAAACAGCCAGTGAGAGCCGCAGCTTCTGAGACGGAGAATAGCCTCGTCTCAACAGTTCAATGGTACCAGCATTGCAGAGATATCCATTCTTCGAAAATTGAGAAAATCTATTCTTTGTTGGGTGGAGAATACGTTGTTGTGCACGTGGATGAAACTGTGTTGGTGAAAATAAAAAATACAACCGTGGTCGCCAGCGAGCGAACAATATTTGGGTAATAGGTTAGGTTATACAACACTCATTTGTAGTCATTCAGATGAATATATGCACAGAATGTGGTGTAACTTTCCTATTGACAGTTCGATGCTTAACTGGGAGATGTTTCTCTCAAATGTTGGGGAAAGATACTCCGTGAAACTGTTTTATGATATTTTTATGATTCATTCTATAAATATACGTTTCCAATCATCGTAAATGCCACTTAAATGTGATTGGTCCGTGCAAAGAACATTTCTGATGGGTTGTGAGTGGTGTCCAAAATTTAACTTTGCATATAAAAGTTGAACATGCAGAATTCACAACACAAAATCATGATGACGATAGATGTCAGATATCAGATTGATAGACTCACCATAGATCTCCACCTCCTCGTCGACGTTCACTAGTAGACGAAAACAAGGATACGTGTGAATTGGTTAGAAAATATGCAGGACGCGACGTTTCAGTGGAGACGCACACGACAATTAAGCAGCAGTCATCACAAGCATGTCTGACAATATGAAGACTGAGCGATACAACACTGGCCCCTCTCTCTCTCTGTCTGTCTGTCTGTCTGTCTGCTCACACCGAGTGGTTGGTTCATTCGAATTCTAGTCTCCAGCGTACTGGCCTCCACAAATCGCCTGCATTACAATCTACTGCGAGATCAGGTGTTCCGTTGACGGTCCAGCGAGCATCAATCGCTTCCACGAAATGATTCAGAAAGCACAGTGTGGATCAGCTCAGAAACTGACGAAATCTTTGTGAAATCAAAGCTATGCACAATACGAAATTTGTAGCCATACACACTTGATAAGGAGATTGACACAGTGAGACGCAGTGGGACACAGTGAGGCACATTGGGATAGTCACGAGGATATGAAGACCGTGATAACTACACAACCAAGACGCAGAGTGACTTCCCTATCAGAAGTGGCCGTGAATATTGAGATGCTACCCACGAAAGCTGAAGTCTTGAATGCTATCAAGCTTCTGAAACCTATAAAATACAGCCAAGGGACCCTATTAACAAGGGAGAAACACAGATTTAACAATGGGCGGGTCACTTCAAAGGACTCTTGAACCGATCACCATCTGCATCCCGTCCAGAATTACCTACAGCAGCGCGTACACAACTGCAAGTTGACACCAATCCTCCAAGAAAAGCTGAAGTCTTGAATGCAATCAAGCCTCTGAAAGCTTGGAAAGCAGCTGGACAAGATGGAAAACCCACTGAAGCACTGAAAGCGGACCCGGAGATGACAGCAAAAATGCTGACTCCATTATTGTGAAAGGTCTGGAAGCAGGGAATTATGCCTACTGACTGGAGGGATGGTTACCTTGTGAAATTACCAAAGAATGGCGACTTAGGACTCTGCAAGAACTGGCGAGGGACCATGATCCTTTAAACGCCTAGCAAAATACTAATCCGTATCATCCTGGAGAGAATAAAGGACGCACTGGAGACAGAACTCCGACCAGAAAAAGCTGGATTCAGGAAAGTCAGGCAAATCATGTACTGACCAAATTGCAACTCTACGCATCATCATCACAGAGCAAAGAATGGAATGGCAATCAAACATCCACCTCAACTTTATAGACTTTGAGAAGGCCTTCGACAGACAGCGTTGACCGCGAAGTAGTTAGGAAACTACTCGAGTACCACGGCGTGCAGCGCCCAAATATTCATCAAGCTTATTCAACAGCTGTACGACAACAGTGGCACATGTCAAGTGATCCACAACGGAAAACTCAGCCAGGCGTTTGGAGTAAACACAGGAGTCAGACAAGGGTGCTGGCTTATTATCACCAATAAATGATATTCCTAATTGTCGTGGACTGGATTATGCGTCAGACAATCAGTGGGAAACGAGAAGACAGGGATATCCTGGAGCGACGTGATGAAACTAGAAGACGTGGATTTCGCGAGTCGATGATTTATGTAGGATGTCAAACAAAATCGAAGACTTACAGACGAAAACCGACCGACAAACTGGTGGAAGAGGCGGCCGGAGAAGAGAGGACTCCAGGTGAACATAGACAAGACGGAGGTTATGAAAATAACCAACTAACCAACAACACCAACAAAAACAGAAACATCCAGCGTCAAAAACACCATCAACGGGAGGGATTTGAAACAGGTTACTTCACTCACTCACTCACTCACTTATCTAGGGAGCATTGTCTCAACTACAGGCCACAGGAACGGACAAGGATGTCAAATCGAGCGAGAATCGGGTGGGGGGCGACAAACACACACATTCATCAACCAACTGAAACCAATCTGGATAGCAATCTTCGTCACTCAGCCAGCCAGCATCAACAACAAAATCCAGTCGGATTTCCAATACAAACAAAGTCAAGTCAGTCAGTTTGTATACACGGAACGGATCAGAAACTTGGCGGGCGGGCGGGCGGATCACAAACAATATTTCCAACAGCCTGTTGCAGACCTTCATCAACCAACAACTGTCTTCGCTGGCTGTATACTGAAGATCAGATGGCCGGCCGGCCGGCCGGGCCGGAAAGAATCACCAACTATGGGAAACTGTGGTCACAAACAAACAAAACAAGAAGCAATAGCCCAACCAACAAATATGCAGGAGAAAGTGCATTGAGATGGATTGGACACTCGTGGCTGAGTAGGCCGCTGCTGGGTGACATCGCGCGCGCGTCAGGCCATTGCTCGAGTGGAACCAGGCCGAAGGGGAAGCGGCGACTGGGATGTCAGGGCAAGGGTGGGTGACATGGAGGAGATTGTGTGATGAAGAGGAGTTGAAACAGTATGGACTGACTAACATGGATGGATGCAGGTGAAAAGTACAGCAGAAGGAAGACAGAAACAAATGGAGACATGCAGTTGGAGAAATATGTTCCATTATGAACGAAAGGGAACAGTAAATATACACTAGAACCCGATCATCTCACTCAATCAGCGGGTGACGAAGTCGACAAATGTGGAATGGTGAGGAGTGAATATCCGAAATCTGTGACAATGTTGTTCCGATTCAGCTGGAAATGAGCACGTGGAAGGAGATGCGTTGACATTCTTCGTGTCGAGAATAGAATATGTGCAAAACAGTGACAGTCACTCACTCACTCAGTCAGTCAGTCAGTCTCTGTCTACACTTTCGTGGAGATGGTGACTACTGTCGACTGTGCAAGAACAGAACTGAATGAAACAGGTATCTCATGTTGTGCATTATTCCGACTGACTCAAAACTCCTTCACACAAGCCATTCATTCATTAATTCATTCTGTCATTGCTTGCTACAGTCCCAACGAATTGAGCCTAACTGCACGAATCCGAATAGACTTCGGATGGATGGAGTATGACATGTGACACAAAGTGGTTCTACATAGTAGAAATATAATTTAAGCAGTGTCAACCAGTATCTGAATGGTCTTACCCGTTGTTGTTTCTTCTTCAACTTGTTCTTCTGTTGTATTTGCTGTGGGTGTGGGTGTGGTGACTGGCAGAGCTGTCAGAAGAGAAGAGAAGAGAAGAGAAGAGAATAGAAGTAGAACAGACGTGTCTCATCAGTTGTCACACCACTGACCTACGTGATAAATGTAAAATACCCACTTCCCACATCATCAAGATCATCATCTGACTGGACGTGAGTGAATTAGAGAGACAAGGGTGTTTGTTGTCTCACGTCAAGTCGACGAATATATTCACGTAGTCACAAAACTCACCTTGTGTTGTTGCCTGCACAACAAGATTTTTCTTCATTGAAACGAGAGAGATTGAAAATTGAGAGTATCGCGAATAGCACCAGAGTGGGAATATGACTTCCACAGTGACTGGCACATTTGTCACACACTCTCATCTCACACCAATGTGGAACACACGAAAGCGTCTATGTTTGTTGCTCGTGCCTCCTCTGCAATACACATCAACTGTCACATTCCTATCACATCGCCTGCATTGATTGCATATTCATCTGAATCCACAGAATTCATATACTCACATTTTCAATTGCATGTCAGCCAATGTGTTATGTGTTATCTATGATGCTCACTCACTCACTCACTCACCCACAACTCACTCACTCACTCACTCACTCACAAACACACACACAATTCGATTCGAATTTCCCGCCTGCTGTCACCAGTCTGCTGCTCCACACACGATCATCTCACTTTCTACACGCACACACACACACACACACATACACACACATATATACTGTCCAAATAATTATCACAGGTCAGATTTCACGGAGAGCATTCAGAATCTCCGCTCTCTGATATCACCACTCACTTGTCTTCAGAATATAGGTAAGAAGTGAAAAGTGGAAAAGATTTCATCCTTCTCACCTCGAGTATGGCACATGCTGGGATAGATGTTTTTGACCCCTGAAAATAAGAAAAACCAGTCGTCGCCTGTTAACTAACATACGCTATTCACAGTGTTCTATATATAGATGGGCCAAGTTAAACCTTAAGCGCCATTCACTACCAATCAGCGAACGACTTCGAATTATCCGGTGATATTCACGAACGTTACTTCAATGTTGTATACCGCTTGATTCGTTTCAAATGCGTGCCCTAACAAGATTACGGTCGCCATTCGAGGAGGACCGTGTTTTCCAGTGTTGGCTGGATTTAGTGTTGCTCCGGAAGGAGCGAACCTGTTCGTGTGGTGGTGTCATGACCTTGAAAAGCTATGGCAGGTCAACTGATGGATTTGTCCATCGTTGGGCAATATGCTTGAAGCGAGTTAGCATAAGAGACGGTAAGCTGATAATTTTAACATTTCGTAGGAACTAATTTTGCAAGGCCACACCTCTCGTTGACGCAAATTTGGTATATCTGCAACTACTCAGTACTGAAACAGCCAGTGAGAGCCGCAGCTTCTGAGACGGAGAATAGCCTCGTCTCAACAGTTCAATGGTACCAGCATTGCAGAGATATCCATTCTTCGAAAATTGAGAAAATCTATTCTTTGTTGGGTGGAGAATACGTTGTTGTGCACGTGGATGAAACTGTGTTGGTGAAAATAAAAAATACAACCGTGGTCGCCAGCGAGCGAACAATATTTGGGTAATAGGTTAGGTTATACAACACTCATTTGTAGTCATTCAGATGAATATATGCACAGAATGTGGTGTAACTTTCCTATTGACAGTTCGATGCTTAACTGGGAGATGTTTCTCTCAAATGTTGGGGAAAGATACTCCGTGAAACTGTTTTATGATATTTTTATGATTCATTCTATAAATATACGTTTCCAATCATCGTAAATGCCACTTAAATGTGATTGGTCCGTGCAAAGAACATTTCTGATGGGTTGTGAGTGGTGTCCAAAATTTAACTTTGCATATAAAAGTTGAACATGCAGAATTCACAACACAAAATCATGATGACGATAGATGTCAGATATCAGATTGATAGACTCACCATAGATCTCCACCTCCTCGTCGACGTTCACTAGTAGACGAAAACAAGGATACGTGTGAATTGGTTAGAAAATATGCAGGACGCGACGTTTCAGTGGAGACGCACACGACAATTAAGCAGCAGTCATCACAAGCATGTCTGACAATATGAAGACTGAGCGATACAACACTGGCCCCTCTCTCTCTCTGTCTGTCTGTCTGTCTGTCTGCTCACACCGAGTGGTTGGTTCATTCGAATTCTAGTCTCCAGCGTACTGGCCTCCACAAATCGCCTGCATTACAATCTACTGCGAGATCAGGTGTTCCGTTGACGGTCCAGCGAGCATCAATCGCTTCCACGAAATGATTCAGAAAGCACAGTGTGGATCAGCTCAGAAACTGACGAAATCTTTGTGAAATCAAAGCTATGCACAATACGAAATTTGTAGCCATACACACTTGATAAGGAGATTGACACAGTGAGACGCAGTGGGACACAGTGAGGCACATTGGGATAGTCACGAGGATATGAAGACCGTGATAACTACACAACCAAGACGCAGAGTGACTTCCCTATCAGAAGTGGCCGTGAATATTGAGATGCTACCCACGAAAGCTGAAGTCTTGAATGCTATCAAGCTTCTGAAACCTATAAAATACAGCCAAGGGACCCTATTAACAAGGGAGAAACACAGATTTAACAATGGGCGGGTCACTTCAAAGGACTCTTGAACCGATCACCATCTGCATCCCGTCCAGAATTACCTACAGCAGCGCGTACACAACTGCAAGTTGACACCAATCCTCCAAGAAAAGCTGAAGTCTTGAATGCAATCAAGCCTCTGAAAGCTTGGAAAGCAGCTGGACAAGATGGAAAACCCACTGAAGCACTGAAAGCGGACCCGGAGATGACAGCAAAAATGCTGACTCCATTATTGTGAAAGGTCTGGAAGCAGGGAATTATGCCTACTGACTGGAGGGATGGTTACCTTGTGAAATTACCAAAGAATGGCGACTTAGGACTCTGCAAGAACTGGCGAGGGACCATGATCCTTTAAACGCCTAGCAAAATACTAATCCGTATCATCCTGGAGAGAATAAAGGACGCACTGGAGACAGAACTCCGACCAGAAAAAGCTGGATTCAGGAAAGTCAGGCAAATCATGTACTGACCAAATTGCAACTCTACGCATCATCATCACAGAGCAAAGAATGGAATGGCAATCAAACATCCACCTCAACTTTATAGACTTTGAGAAGGCCTTCGACAGACAGCGTTGACCGCGAAGTAGTTAGGAAACTACTCGAGTACCACGGCGTGCAGCGCCCAAATATTCATCAAGCTTATTCAACAGCTGTACGACAACAGTGGCACATGTCAAGTGATCCACAACGGAAAACTCAGCCAGGCGTTTGGAGTAAACACAGGAGTCAGACAAGGGTGCTGGCTTATTATCACCAATAAATGATATTCCTAATTGTCGTGGACTGGATTATGCGTCAGACAATCAGTGGGAAACGAGAAGACAGGGATATCCTGGAGCGACGTGATGAAACTAGAAGACGTGGATTTCGCGAGTCGATGATTTATGTAGGATGTCAAACAAAATCGAAGACTTACAGACGAAAACCGACCGACAAACTGGTGGAAGAGGCGGCCGGAGAAGAGAGGACTCCAGGTGAACATAGACAAGACGGAGGTTATGAAAATAACCAACTAACCAACAACACCAACAAAAACAGAAACATCCAGCGTCAAAAACACCATCAACGGGAGGGATTTGAAACAGGTTACTTCACTCACTCACTCACTCACTTATCTAGGGAGCATTGTCTCAACTACAGGCCACAGGAACGGACAAGGATGTCAAATCGAGCGAGAATCGGGTGGGGGGCGACAAACACACACATTCATCAACCAACTGAAACCAATCTGGATAGCAATCTTCGTCACTCAGCCAGCCAGCATCAACAACAAAATCCAGTCGGATTTCCAATACAAACAAAGTCAAGTCAGTCAGTTTGTATACACGGAACGGATCAGAAACTTGGCGGGCGGGCGGGCGGATCACAAACAATATTTCCAACAGCCTGTTGCAGACCTTCATCAACCAACAACTGTCTTCGCTGGCTGTATACTGAAGATCAGATGGCCGGCCGGCCGGCCGGGCCGGAAAGAATCACCAACTATGGGAAACTGTGGTCACAAACAAACAAAACAAGAAGCAATAGCCCAACCAACAAATATGCAGGAGAAAGTGCATTGAGATGGATTGGACACTCGTGGCTGAGTAGGCCGCTGCTGGGTGACATCGCGCGCGCGTCAGGCAATTGCTCGAGTGGAACCAGGCCGAAGGGGAAGCGGCGACTGGGATGTCAGGGCAAGGGTGGGTGACATGGAGGAGATTGTGTGATGAAGAGGAGTTGAAACAGTATGGACTGACTAACATGGATGGATGCAGGTGAAAAGTACAGCAGAAGGAAGACAGAAACAAATGGAGACATGCAGTTGGAGAAATATGTTCCATTATGAACGAAAGGGAACAGTAAATATACACTAGAACCCGATCATCTCACTCAATCAGCGGGTGACGAAGTCGACAAATGTGGAATGGTGAGGAGTGAATATCCGAAATCTGTGACAATGTTGTTCCGATTCAGCTGGAAATGAGCACGTGGAAGGAGATGCGTTGACATTCTTCGTGTCGAGAATAGAATATGTGCAAAACAGTGACAGTCACTCACTCACTCACTCAGTCAGTCAGTCTCTGTCTACACTTTCGTGGAGATGGTGACTACTGTCGACTGTGCAAGAACAGAACTGAATGAAACAGGTATCTCATGTTGTGCATTATTCCGACTGACTCAAAACTCCTTCACACAAGCCATTCATTCATTAATTCATTCTGTCATTGCTTGCTACAGTCCCAACGAATTGAGCCTAACTGCACGAATCCGAATAGACTTCGGATGGATGGAGTATGACATGTGACACAAAGTGGTTCTACATAGTAGAAATATAATTTAAGCAGTGTCAACCAGTATCTGAATGGTCTTACCCGTTGTTGTTTCTTCTTCAACTTGTTCTTCTGTTGTATTTGCTGTGGGTGTGGGTGTGGTGACTGGCAGAGCTGTCAGAAGAGAAGAGAAGAGAAGATAAGAGAATAGAAGTAGAACAGACGTGTCTCATCAGTTGTCACACCACTGACCTACGTGATAAATGTAAAATACCCACTTCCCACATCATCAAGATCATCATCTGACTGGACGTGAGTGAATTAGAGAGACAAGGGTGTTTGTTGTCTCACGTCAAGTCGACGAATATATTCACGTAGTCACAAAACTCACCTTGTGTTGTTGCCTGCACAACAAGATTTTTCTTCATTGAAACGAGAGAGATTGAAAATTGAGAGTATCGCGAATAGCACCAGAGTGGGAATATGACTTCCACAGTGACTGGCACATTTGTCACACACTCTCATCTCACACCAATGTGGAACACACGAAAGCGTCTATGTTTGTTGCTCGTGCCTCCTCTGCAATACACATCAACTGTCACATTCCTATCACATCGCCTGCATTGATTGCATATTCATCTGAATCCACAGAATTCATATACTCACATTTTCAATTGCATGTCAGCCAATGTGTTATGTGTTATCTATGATGCTCACTCACTCACTCACTCACACTCACTCACTCACTCACTCACAAACACACACACAATTCGATTCGAATTTCCCGCCTGCTGTCACCAGTCTGCTGCTCCACACACGATCATCTCACTTTCTACACGCACACACACACACACACATACACACACATATATACTGTCCAAATAATTATCACAGGTCAGATTTCACGGAGAGCATTCAGAATCTCCGCTCTCTGATATCACCACTCACTTGTCTTCAGAATATAGGTAAGAAGTGAAAAGTGGAAAAGATTTCATCCTTCTCACCTCGAGTATGGCACATGCTGGGATAGATGTTTTTGACCCCTGAAAATAAGAAAAACCAGTCGTCGCCTGTTAACTAACATACGCTATTCACAGTGTTCTATATATAGATGGGCCAAGTTAAACCTTAAGCGCCATTCACTACCAATCAGCGAACGACTTCGAATTATCCGGTGATATTCACGAACGTTACTTCAATGTTGTATACCGCTTGATTCGTTTCAAATGCGTGCCCTAACAAGATTACGGTCGCCATTCGAGGAGGACCGTGTTTTCCAGTGTTGGCTGGATTTAGTGTTGCTCCGGAAGGAGCGAACCTGTTCGTGTGGTGGTGTCATGACCTTGAAAAGCTATGGCAGGTCAACTGATGGATTTGTCCATCGTTGGGCAATATGCTTGAAGCGAGTTAGCATAAGAGACGGTAAGCTGATAATTTTAACATTTCGTAGGAACTAATTTTGCAAGGCCACACCTCTCGTTGACGCAAATTTGGTATATCTGCAACTACTCAGTACTGAAACAGCCAGTGAGAGCCGCAGCTTCTGAGACGGAGAATAGCCTCGTCTCAACAGTTCAATGGTACCAGCATTGCAGAGATATCCATTCTTCGAAAATTGAGAAAATCTATTCTTTGTTGGGTGGAGAATACGTTGTTGTGCACGTGGATGAAACTGTGTTGGTGAAAATAAAAAATACAACCGTGGTCGCCAGCGAGCGAACAATATTTGGGTAATAGGTTAGGTTATACAACACTCATTTGTAGTCATTCAGATGAATATATGCACAGAATGTGGTGTAACTTTCCTATTGACAGTTCGATGCTTAACTGGGAGATGTTTCTCTCAAATGTTGGGGAAAGATACTCCGTGAAACTGTTTTATGATATTTTTATGATTCATTCTATAAATATACGTTTCCAATCATCGTAAATGCCACTTAAATGTGATTGGTCCGTGCAAAGAACATTTCTGATGGGTTGTGAGTGGTGTCCAAAATTTAACTTTGCATATAAAAGTTGAACATGCAGAATTCACAACACAAAATCATGATGACGATAGATGTCAGATATCAGATTGATAGACTCACCATAGATCTCCACCTCCTCGTCGACGTTCACTAGTAGACGAAAACAAGGATACGTGTGAATTGGTTAGAAAATATGCAGGACGCGACGTTTCAGTGGAGACGCACACGACAATTAAGCAGCAGTCATCACAAGCATGTCTGACAATATGAAGACTGAGCGATACAACACTGGCCCCTCTCTCTCTGTCTGTCTGTCTGTCTGTCTGCTCACACCGAGTGGTTGGTTCATTCGAATTCTAGTCTCCAGCGTACTGGCCTCCACAAATCGCCTGCATTACAATCTACTGCGAGATCAGGTGTTCCGTTGACGGTCCAGCGAGCATCAATCGCTTCCACGAAATGATTCAGAAAGCACAGTGTGGATCAGCTCAGAAACTGACGAAATCTTTGTGAAATCAAAGCTATGCACAATACGAAATTTGTAGCCATACACACTTGATAAGGAGATTGACACAGTGAGACGCAGTGGGACACAGTGAGGCACATTGGGATAGTCACGAGGATATGAAGACCGTGATAATTACACAACAAAGACGCAGAGTGACTTCCCTATCAGAAGTGGCCGTGAATATTGAGATGCTACCCTGTCTGTCTGTCTGTCTGTTTTCGACATAGAACTTTGCACAAATGTGCGGAAATTCAAGTCGCCACATTCCGTGTAGCACGCGAAGCAAGAGAAGAAAGTACAAGTAAAGCATAATAGAAACAGTGAGCAGAGGTGTGAGACAGAGGAGTAATAAAGAAATACGAAACAGTTTCATTGGACATCATAAGTCACAAGGAGTGGATGCATCTGCGCCACTGAGAACGATTTTGAGCCATGTCACCAATTGTTTCCAACCATAGATTTTTGCCGTCCCGAGGACCCCAGCCTGGAAGTCTACACCTTCCTACGTGGCTTAGACCAACTGTTGTGGATTTCATTGACTGTTGCCAAGTTTTTGTTTGACCGCCGCTAGCTTTTTTCCAGCCTGACCCTATATCCGCTAACATTGCTCGTCGAGGGAGGCGATGGCTTGGCATACGTAACACATGTCCTAACCATCTCAGTCTTTGTAGCTTCACGACTTCGTCGATTGATTTCCCCTGTTTACCTAGAACTCTACGCCTAACCTCCATGTTGCTCACCTTATTATGCCACTTTACACGGGAAATAGAACGCAGGCACCTATGATCAAAGACAGCTAGTCTTTTCATGTCTTCCACTCTCAGTGGCCAGGTCTGACAACCATACAGGAGGACGGAGCGGACTGATGAGCAGTACACCCGCCCTTTGGTCGATAGTCGAACATCTCGTCTACGCCAGAGTCGGCGTAAACTAACAAATGCGAAACGAGCCCCTTGTATTCGTGCTGAGATTTCGTCAGAGATCAGCCCGTTGGGGCTGATGGTACTTCCCAAATAAGTGAAGCGGTCAACGTGCTCTACCACTTCACTTCCTATTTTTAAACTAGGCGTCGATGTAGTCCAGTCCTGTAACATCATCTTGCATTTGGTGGGAGCGAATCGCATGCCAAACATTCGTAGATTGCGGCTCAAGGTGTTCAGAAGACTCTGCATTTCGTCAGCGTCTTCGCCTAGAAGGACTATATCGTCTGCATATTCCAAGTCAACGAGATTATTCCCCGGTAGCAAGTCAATTCCTGAGTCACTGAAGTCACCTAGGGTTAAGTCCATTAACACATCTATGATGAAGTTGAATAGAAAAGGAGATAATGGGCATCCTTGACGGACACCACTGGTCGTCATCAGTTCAGATGACAGCTCGCCGTAAGCCCTCACCTGGCTGTATGAGTACGAGTAGAGTGCCTTAATCAGTGCAATGTATTTTCTCGGAATTCCCTTTACAGCCAAGCATCTCCAGAGAACTTCCCGATCGACAGAGTCGAATGCTGCCTTTAGGTCAAGAAATATAATGACTGTTGGACGCCGGTAGGAATGCCTATGTTCTAGAATCTGTCGGAGGGTGAAGATATGATCAATACACCCTCTTCCTGGTCTAAAGCCTGCCTGGCTCTCTCGTGTTTGTGCTTCCCGAGCACCACTCAGTCTACGCATGATTATTGAGCCTAAGACTTTAGATACTATATTAGTCAAGCTAATCCCTCTGTGATTATCACAGGAAGACTTGTCTCCCTTCTTGTATATGGGGATAATCAGTGACTTACACCAACCCGATGGGACTTCTTCTGATTCCCAAACGCTGCCTAGTACCTCAGTTAATCCGGACAGTAAGCTGTCTCCACCGTACTTAAATACCTCTGGCGTCATTCCATCAGGTCCCGCTGCTTTGCCTAGTTTCAGATTGGTGACAGCTTTAGTAACCTCAGTTAGTGACGGAGGACCTGTATCTATATCCCATTCAGGGAGGTGTTGGATGCTCGGAAGGTTGAGCGTGGCTGTGGGCCAATTAAACTGCTCCTCATAATGCTCTTTCCAACGATCCAGTCGTCTATCCTGTGAGCTAATTATAGTGCCATTTTTTTCCGAGATTGTCTCACTAATGATTTGTCTTCTCCCACCCGTTTCCCTGATGAGTCCAAAGAGTTGCCTGGTGTTGCCTATCCTCAAAGCTTTCTCCATCTCTTTGGCTTTTGTCGCCCACCACTGTTCACGGTCCTTGCGGAGACTTTTCGTAAGTTTCCTCTTGTGCAGCTTTCGCTCCTCATTGAATTCGGAGCTCGCCGGAATAAGTCTTCTAGCATCTATCAGTTCGGATGAGGCAGTCGAAATCCAGTGGTTTTTACTCACCTTTGGGTTTACCTTATTCACAGCTTTTACAGCTGTATCTATGGCTGCCTGGATATTTTTCCAAGCTTCTTCCGGTTGAGCACAGCTGTCGAACACAGATATGTGTTTAGCTAGTTCTTCCTGAAATACGGATTTAGTTTCCTGATCGAGCTGGGGACGTGATGGTTTTACCGCCAGCTGTTTCCTACGTCCGTTCAGTCGTAAGCACACCCGAGCGCGGACCAGTGCATGGTCGGTATCTACGCACGTGTTCCAGAAGGAGCGACAATCTCCTACCGACCCACGCCAACGATAGCTTATTGCTATGTGGTCTATTTGTGTCCAGCGTTGGTTTGATGAAGGGGGTCTCCAAGTCACACAGTGTCTTTCCTTGTGTTTAAAGTTAGTGCTTACAAGAAACAAATGATTATCAGAGCAGAACTGTAGGAGACGGTCACCGTTGTCTGTTCGCTGGCACCGGACTCCATAGGTGCCACTGACATCCTTCTCAGATTGACACAATTTCCCTACTTGAGCGTTAAAGTCACCAGCTAGAACGACTATGTCTGAGCGTTTAGCCTTTCCCACCAAACTAGACAGCTTTTGGTAGAACTCATCCTTCGTTTCATCTGAACTGCAGTCAGTGGGGGCGTAGACGGAGATTACGAAAAGGCATCGGCGAGTAGTGCAGTCCTTCCTCCTTATTACTGATCCGTTCAGGCAGACAGCACACATTCGGCTATCTACCGGGATCCAGTCAAGCAATGTATTTTCTGCCCTAGTACTCAAAGCTATCCCTACGCCGGCTAATCCTCGTGAACTGGCTGTGGCATCTCCTGACACCCTCAAGGTGAGATGCTACCCACGAAAGCTGAAGTCTTGAATGCTATCAAGCTTCTGAAACCTATAAAATACAGCCAAGGGACCCTATTAACAAGGGAGAAACACAGATTTAACAATGGGCGGGTCACTTCAAAGGACTCTTGAACCGATCACCATCTGCATCCCGTCCAGAATTACCTACAGCAGCGCGTACACAACTGCAAGTTGACACCAATCCTCCAAGAAAAGCTGAAGTCTTGAATGCAATCAAGCCTCTGAAAGCTTGGAAAGCAGCTGGACAAGATGGAAAACCCACTGAAGCACTGAAAGCGGACCCGGAGATGACAGCAAAAATGCTGACTCCATTATTGTGAAAGGTCTGGAAGCAGGGAATTATGCCTACTGACTGGAGGGATGGTTACCTTGTGAAATTACCAAAGAATGGCGACTTAGGACTCTGCAAGAACTGGCGAGGGACCATGATCCTTTAAACGCCTAGCAAAATACTAATCCGTATCATCCTGGAGAGAATAAAGGACGCACTGGAGACAGAACTCCGACCAGAAAAAGCTGGATTCAGGAAAGTCAGGCAAATCATGTACTGACCAAATTGCAACTCTACGCATCATCATCACAGAGCAAAGAATGGAATGGCAATCAAACATCCACCTCAACTTTATAGACTTTGAGAAGGCCTTCGACAGACAGCGTTGACCGCGAAGTAGTTAGGAAACTACTCGAGTACCACGGCGTGCAGCGCCCAAATATTCATCAAGCTTATTCAACAGCTGTACGACAACAGTGGCACATGTCAAGTGATCCACAACGGAAAACTCAGCCAGGCGTTTGGAGTAAACACAGGAGTCAGACAAGGGTGCTGGCTTATTATCACCAATAAATGATATTCCTAATTGTCGTGGACTGGATTATGCGTCAGACAATCAGTGGGAAACGAGAAGACAGGGATATCCTGGAGCGACGTGATGAAACTAGAAGACGTGGATTTCGCGAGTCGATGATTTATGTAGGATGTCAAACAAAATCGAAGACTTACAGACGAAAACCGACCGACAAACTGGTGGAAGAGGCGGCCGGAGAAGAGAGGACTCCAGGTGAACATAGACAAGACGGAGGTTATGAAAATAACCAACTAACCAACAACACCAACAAAAACAGAAACATCCAGCGTCAAAAACACCATCAACGGGAGGGATTTGAAACAGGTTACTTCACTCACTCACTCACTCACTTATCTAGGGAGCATTGTCTCAACTACAGGCCACAGGAACGGACAAGGATGTCAAATCGAGCGAGAATCGGGTGGGGGGCGACAAACACACACATTCATCAACCAACTGAAACCAATCTGGATAGCAATCTTCGTCACTCAGCCAGCCAGCATCAACAACAAAATCCAGTCGGATTTCCAATACAAACAAAGTCAAGTCAGTCAGTTTGTATACACGGAACGGATCAGAAACTTGGCGGGCGGGCGGGCGGATCACAAACAATATTTCCAACAGCCTGTTGCAGACCTTCATCAACCAACAACTGTCTTCGCTGGCTGTATACTGAAGATCAGATGGCCGGCCGGCCGGCCGGGCCGGAAAGAATCACCAACTATGGGAAACTGTGGTCACAAACAAACAAAACAAGAAGCAATAGCCCAACCAACAAATATGCAGGAGAAAGTGCATTGAGATGGATTGGACACTCGTGGCTGAGTAGGCCGCTGCTGGGTGACATCGCGCGCGCGTCAGGCAATTGCTCGAGTGGAACCAGGCCGAAGGGGAAGCGGCGACTGGGATTTCAGGGCAAGGGTGGGTGACATGGAGGAGATTGTGTGATGAAGAGGAGTTGAAACAGTATGGACTGACTAACATGGATGGATGCAGGTGAAAAGTACAGCAGAAGGAAGACAGAAACAAATGGAGACATGCAGTTGGAGAAATATGTTCCATTATGAACGAAAGGGAACAGTAAATATACACTAGAACCCGATCATCTCACTCAATCAGCGGGTGACGAAGTCGACAAATGTGGAATGGTGAGGAGTGAATATCCGAAATCTGTGACAATGTTGTTCCGATTCAGCTGGAAATGAGCACGTGGAAGGAGATGCGTTGACATTCTTCGTGTCGAGAATAGAATATGTGCAAAACAGTGACAGTCACTCACTCACTCACTCAGTCAGTCAGTCAGTCTCTGTCTACACTTTCGTGGAGATGGTGACTACTGTCGACTGTGCAAGAACAGAACTGAATGAAACAGGTATCTCATGTTGTGCATTATTCCGACTGACTCAAAACTCCTTCACACAAGCCATTCATTCATTAATTCATTCTGTCATTGCTTGCTACAGTCCCAACGAATTGAGCCTAACTGCACGAATCCGAATAGACTTCGGATGGATGGAGTATGACATGTGACACAAAGTGGTTCTACATAGTAGAAATATAATTTAAGCAGTGTCAACCAGTATCTGAATGGTCTTACCCGTTGTTGTTTCTTCTTCAACTTGTTCTTCTGTTGTACTTGCTGTGGGTGTGGGTGTGGTGACTGGCAGAGCTGTCAGAAGAGAAGAGAAGAGAAGATAAGAGAATAGAAGTAGAACAGACGTGTCTCATCAGTTGTCACACCACTGACCTACGTGATAAATGTAAAATACCCACTTCCCACATCATCAAGATCATCATCTGACTGGACGTGAGTGAATTAGAGAGACAAGGGTGTTTGTTGTCTCACGTCAAGTCGACGAATATATTCACGTAGTCACAAAACTCACCTTGTGTTGTTGCCTGCACAACAAGATTTTTCTTCATTGAAACGAGAGAGATTGAAAATTGAGAGTATCGCGAATAGCACCAGAGTGGGAATATGACTTCCACAGTGACTGGCACATTTGTCACACACTCTCATCTCACACCAATGTGGAACACACGAAAGCGTCTATGTTTGTTGCTCGTGCCTCCTCTGCAATACACATCAACTGTCACATTCCTATCACATCGCCTGCATTGATTGCATATTCATCTGAATCCACAGAATTCATATACTCACATTTTCAATTGCATGTCAGCCAATGTGTTATGTGTTATCTATGATGCTCACTCACTCACTCACCCACATACTCACTCACTCACTCACTCACTCACTCACAAACACACACACAATTCGATTCGAATTTCCCGCCTGCTGTCACCAGTCTGCTGCTCCACACACGATCATCTCACTTTCTACACGCACACACACACACACACACATACACACACATATATACTGTCCAAATAATTATCACAGGTCAGATTTCACGGAGAGCATTCAGAATCTCCGCTCTCTGATATCACCACTCACTTGTCTTCAGAATATAGGTAAGAAGTGAAAAGTGGAAAAGATTTCATCCTTCTCACCTCGAGTATGGCACATGCTGGGATAGATGTTTTTGACCCCTGAAAATAAGAAAAACCAGTCGTCGCCTGTTAACTAACATACGCTATTCACAGTGTTCTATATATAGATGGGCCAAGTTAAACCTTAAGCGCCATTCACTACCAATCAGCGAACGACTTCGAATTATCCGGTGATATTCACGAACGTTACTTCAATGTTGTATACCGCTTGATTCGTTTCAAATGCGTGCCCTAACAAGATTACGGTCGCCATTCGAGGAGGACCGTGTTTTCCAGTGTTGGCTGGATTTAGTGTTGCTCCGGAAGGAGCGAACCTGTTCGTGTGGTGGTGTCATGACCTTGAAAAGCTATGGCAGGTCAACTGATGGATTTGTCCATCGTTGGGCAATATGCTTGAAGCGAGTTAGCATAAGAGACGGTAAGCTGATAATTTTAACATTTCGTAGGAACTAATTTTGCAAGGCCACACCTCTCGTTGACGCAAATTTGGTATATCTGCAACTACTCAGTACTGAAACAGCCAGTGAGAGCCGCAGCTTCTGAGACGGAGAATAGCCTCGTCTCAACAGTTCAATGGTACCAGCATTGCAGAGATATCCATTCTTCGAAAATTGAGAAAATCTATTCTTTGTTGGGTGGAGAATACGTTGTTGTGCACGTGGATGAAACTGTGTTGGTGAAAATAAAAAATACAACCGTGGTCGCCAGCGAGCGAACAATATTTGGGTAATAGGTTAGGTTATACAACACTCATTTGTAGTCATTCAGATGAATATATGCACAGAATGTGGTGTAACTTTCCTATTGACAGTTCGATGCTTAACTGGGAGATGTTTCTCTCAAATGTTGGGGAAAGATACTCCGTGAAACTGTTTTATGATATTTTTATGATTCATTCTATAAATATACGTTTCCAATCATCGTAAATGCCACTTAAATGTGATTGGTCCGTGCAAAGAACATTTCTGATGGGTTGTGAGTGGTGTCCAAAATTTAACTTTGCATATAAAAGTTGAACATGCAGAATTCACAACACAAAATCATGATGACGATAGATGTCAGATATCAGATTGATAGACTCACCATAGATCTCCACCTCCTCGTCGACGTTCACTAGTAGACGAAAACAAGGATACGTGTGAATTGGTTAGAAAATATGCAGGACGCGACGTTTCAGTGGAGACGCACACGACAATTAAGCAGCAGTCATCACAAGCATGTCTGACAATATGAAGACTGAGCGATACAACACTGGCCCCTCTCTCTCTCTGTCTGTCTGTCTGTCTGTCTGCTCACACCGAGTGGTTGGTTCATTCGAATTCTAGTCTCCAGCGTACTGGCCTCCACAAATCGCCTGCATTACAATCTACTGCGAGATCAGGTGTTCCGTTGACGGTCCAGCGAGCATCAATCGCTTCCACGAAATGATTCAGAAAGCACAGTGTGGATCAGCTCAGAAACTGACGAAATCTTTGTGAAATCAAAGCTATGCACAATACGAAATTTGTAGCCATACACACTTGATAAGGAGATTGACACAGTGAGACGCAGTGGGACACAGTGAGGCACATTGGGATAGTCACGAGGATATGAAGACCGTGATAACTACACAACCAAGACGCAGAGTGACTTCCCTATCAGAAGTGGCCGTGAATATTGAGATGCTACCCACGAAAGCTGAAGTCTTGAATGCTATCAAGCTTCTGAAACCTATAAAATACAGCCAAGGGACCCTATTAACAAGGGAGAAACACAGATTTAACAATGGGCGGGTCACTTCAAAGGACTCTTGAACCGATCACCATCTGCATCCCGTCCAGAATTACCTACAGCAGCGCGTACACAACTGCAAGTTGACACCAATCCTCCAAGAAAAGCTGAAGTCTTGAATGCAATCAAGCCTCTGAAAGCTTGGAAAGCAGCTGGACAAGATGGAAAACCCACTGAAGCACTGAAAGCGGACCCGGAGATGACAGCAAAAATGCTGACTCCATTATTGTGAAAGGTCTGGAAGCAGGGAATTATGCCTACTGACTGGAGGGATGGTTACCTTGTGAAATTACCAAAGAATGGCGACTTAGGACTCTGCAAGAACTGGCGAGGGACCATGATCCTTTAAACGCCTAGCAAAATACTAATCCGTATCATCCTGGAGAGAATAAAGGACGCACTGGAGACAGAACTCCGACCAGAAAAAGCTGGATTCAGGAAAGTCAGGCAAATCATGTACTGACCAAATTGCAACTCTACGCATCATCATCACAGAGCAAAGAATGGAATGGCAATCAAACATCCACCTCAACTTTATAGACTTTGAGAAGGCCTTCGACAGACAGCGTTGACCGCGAAGTAGTTAGGAAACTACTCGAGTACCACGGCGTGCAGCGCCCAAATATTCATCAAGCTTATTCAACAGCTGTACGACAACAGTGGCACATGTCAAGTGATCCACAACGGAAAACTCAGCCAGGCGTTTGGAGTAAACACAGGAGTCAGACAAGGGTGCTGGCTTATTATCACCAATAAATGATATTCCTAATTGTCGTGGACTGGATTATGCGTCAGACAATCAGTGGGAAACGAGAAGACAGGGATATCCTGGAGCGACGTGATGAAACTAGAAGACGTGGATTTCGCGAGTCGATGATTTATGTAGGATGTCAAACAAAATCGAAGACTTACAGACGAAAACCGACCGACAAACTGGTGGAAGAGGCGGCCGGAGAAGAGAGGACTCCAGGTGAACATAGACAAGACGGAGGTTATGAAAATAACCAACTAACCAACAACACCAACAAAAACAGAAACATCCAGCGTCAAAAACACCATCAACGGGAGGGATTTGAAACAGGTTACTTCACTCACTCACTCACTCACTTATCTAGGGAGCATTGTCTCAACTACAGGCCACAGGAACGGACAAGGATGTCAAATCGAGCGAGAATCGGGTGGGGGGCGACAAACACACACATTCATCAACCAACTGAAACCAATCTGGATAGCAATCTTCGTCACTCAGCCAGCCAGCATCAACAACAAAATCCAGTCGGATTTCCAATACAAACAAAGTCAAGTCAGTCAGTTTGTATACACGGAACGGATCAGAAACTTGGCGGGCGGGCGGGCGGATCACAAACAATATTTCCAACAGCCTGTTGCAGACCTTCATCAACCAACAACTGTCTTCGCTGGCTGTATACTGAAGATCAGATGGCCGGCCGGCCGGCCGGGCCGGAAAGAATCACCAACTATGGGAAACTGTGGTCACAAACAAACAAAACAAGAAGCAATAGCCCAACCAACAAATATGCAGGAGAAAGTGCATTGAGATGGATTGGACACTCGTGGCTGAGTAGGCCGCTGCTGGGTGACATCGCGCGCGCGTCAGGCCATTGCTCGAGTGGAACCAGGCCGAAGGGGAAGCGGCGACTGGGATGTCAGGGCAAGGGTGGGTGACATGGAGGAGATTGTGTGATGAAGAGGAGTTGAAACAGTATGGACTGACTAACATGGATGGATGCAGGTGAAAAGTACAGCAGAAGGAAGACAGAAACAAATGGAGACATGCAGTTGGAGAAATATGTTCCATTATGAACGAAAGGGAACAGTAAATATACACTAGAACCCGATCATCTCACTCAATCAGCGGGTGACGAAGTCGACAAATGTGGAATGGTGAGGAGTGAATATCCGAAATCTGTGACAATGTTGTTCCGATTCAGCTGGAAATGAGCACGTGGAAGGAGATGCGTTGACATTCTTCGTGTCGAGAATAGAATATGTGCAAAACAGTGACAGTCACTCACTCAGTCAGTCAGTCAGTCAGTCTCTGTCTACACTTTCGTGGAGATGGTGACTACTGTCGACTGTGCAAGAACAGAACTGAATGAAACAGGTATCTCATGTTGTGCATTATTCCGACTGACTCAAAACTCCTTCACACAAGCCATTCATTCATTAATTCATTCTGTCATTGCTTGCTACAGTCCCAACGAATTGAGCCTAACTGCACGAATCCGAATAGACTTCGGATGGATGGAGTATGACATGTGACACGAAGTGGTTCTACATAGTAGAAATATAATTTAAGCAGTGTCAACCAGTATCTGAATGGTCTTACCCGTTGTTGTTTCTTCTTCAACTTGTTC